CCTCTTCAAGTGTAAGAGGGTTGTTTGATCCCCTCCCCATTTTCAATCAGAAACTACTTTTAATAAATCGAGTGCCTTCAAACATTTAGCTTTAAGGTATTTAATATGTGGAAGAGGTTAAATAGCTATCGAAAATAAGGCCCAAGAATTTGGCCTCCTTTACAACTTTGATAAGCAAGCTAGGAAAAATAGGAAGAAAGCCGAATAATATTTCCATCGACATCCAACTATTCACAACTTGAATAACGTTAGAATTACTGGGGCTGAAGAGAGACGCAACCTAAAACAATATAAACTTCTATCCTGGAGGAACTATGTATCCGAATTCAATTCCCGCACACCCATGTCTAAGGTGTGGAACATGATTCAAAAGATTAAGTGCAAAGGGTCAAAATTAGGAGTGCACCATCTCAAAGATGGTAATATACTTTTAACTACTAAATCCGAAATTGCCAACAAATTTGGTGAAACTTTGGCAAACCATTCCACATCATCAAACTATAATCCTCAATTCCAGAGTTTTCAAAATCAGCAGGAAAAGAAAAAAGTCAATTTTAACTCTGAAAATGGTGAGGAATATAACGAAACATTTTCACTCCATGAATTATATACTGCCCTAGGGCAAGGCAAGCTCATGACACTGCAGCAGGAGCCGACATCATCCACTTTCAGCCCCCAAATCACTTGCCCGATTCATGTTTGGAAACGTTACTGAATATATTTGATGAAATATGGAAATTTTCCTCCTTCGTGGCACAATGCTATTATTATTCCTATTTCAAAGCCTGGACGGGATCACACAGATCCATTCAACTCCAATATCATTAACTAGCTGTGTTTGTAAAACCATGGAGTGCTTTGATAATGTGAATGAATCCCTTGTGATTGCAACGTTCACACAATCAAGCAATATATGCTTGATGCAGAACCTTTCATCGCAAGGGATGCACTTAGGAGGCTCTACCTCATCTGAGTTAAGCAGATATTACGACCTCGTCATGTTTTGACTGACAACCCAAGTAGGTATGACCGATTATAGGTTTTATTGCTTCCTACCTGGGTGTCCCATCTTATGTGCATCAGATCCCAAGTATAACTTTTAATAGTTGGTTTGAAATCGCTGTACGGGATAAGTAATGGAGATAATGGTTTGCCAAAAGCTGCAGCATCGGCTTTTGAGTTACCTATTATATTTACATGACTTGTCAGCCAGCAAAAGACGATGTCACATTGGCCAGTAGAAAGATCATTGAAAAGTTCTAGAATGTCAAGGATTATAGGATGATTTGAGGAGACTCTTTTAAGTGCCCGAATCAATGAAGATGGAGATGATTATGAACTTTTTAGATTGGTTTAATATAAGACAAAGCTGTAAAGGTATTTTTGACCTCAGCAGTAACAACTGAACTAGATAGAATCTTGTATATTTGAGGAGACAGTTCCGGATCCAATGATGGTGGCACTTGCAACCTTTCAACCATCCTTGGACTCGCCTGTAAAAATACACCTTTGAGAATTATATTGAGTTCATAATTGGTTGTATGCTCGTTGATAAACCAAAGGATTTGTTTCGGATTTTTTGAGTTGGGGGTAGAGTGAGGTCTACCTCTGGCTTCACCATCTGCCAGGGAGGAGACGACAGAAGACGGTAAGGTGATATTATATTTAATTATTATCTATTGTATTCATATTCTTACCACGACAAGAAATGTTGAAATTGTCCACAAAAAGTGAACCATCAATGCTATAGTTTAATACTTTAGTGAGACACTTAATTTTGATGCTGAAAAGTGTGACTGATATTATGCTTGCTGCCTTGAGGGATGCCCTGATATTGATCGAAATGATCAGATAGCGTACAGCCCACTCGTACTTGAATTGTCTGTTGTTTAATAATTGAGCAATGAAATTAGGTAATCTACCCCTCAAGCCAAACTCATGGAAATCATCTAAAATACCATGTTTCCATGTTGTATCATATGCCTTCTCTACGTCCAAAATGATTGATACAGTATGTTATTTGTTGACAATGGAATTTTTAATGAACGATTCAAAACGCACCGAATTGTCAATGGTACTTCTGATTCTTCTTTTCGGAAACCGCACTGGATGTCACTCAGGATGTAATTGGTCTCCAGGTACCAGACAAATCGATTGTTGACCATGCGCTCCATGGTTTTACGAACACAGCTAGTTATTGGTATTGGACGGTAGTTGGATGGATATGTGTGATCCCGTCCAGGCTTTGGCATAGGAATGATATTAGCATTGTGCCACGAAGGCGAAAAATCTCCGGTTGTCCATTTTTCATCAAATATATTCACTATATATCAGCGTTTCCAAACATGAATCGGGCAAGTGTTTCAGGAGCTGATAGTGGATATGGTGGGCTCCTGCTGCAGTGTTATGAGATTGCCCTAGGGCAGAATATAATTCACGGAGTGTAAACATTTTGTTATAGTCCTCATCATTATCAGGGTTAAAATTGACTATTTTCGTTTCCTGCTGTTTTTGAAACCTCTGAAATTGAGGATTATAGTTTGATGATGAGGTATGGTTTGCCAATGTGTCACCAGGTTTGTTGGCAAATTTCGGATTTAGTAGTTAGTTGTATTACCATCTTTGAGATTGTGAATTCCAGATTTGGATCCTTTGCCCCAAATCTTTTGAATGATGTTCCACGCCTTGGACATGAGTGTGTGGGAATTAATTTTTGATATATAGTTCCTACAGGGTTGGAGTTTGTTCTGTTTAAAGCTGCGCCTTCGCGCACGTGATGTTAGCGTTTTACAAGTTGTGGACATTGGGATGAAGGCGGAAATATTTCTCAGCTTTCTTCCTATTTTTTCTAGCTTGTTTACTATTATTGAACCATGGTTTACGTTAACGAGGGTTTGGTATGGACTTAGGAATGCTCTCATCTCCAATATCATATAACATATTAATACATTCCTGAAACTGTCAGGGTTTAGTTTTTCAGTACAAAGTGTTTGGAATAAAGACCAATTGGTCTTTGTAACATTCCACCTTGTTGAAGGTGGTTCGTCAGTTAGATTAATAGTTGTAAGTATTGTTGGAAAATGGTCCCTTTAACAAAGGTCTCGAAGGATACCTATTATCATTCAACTTTTCTCAAAGGATTTTTTATATTACTATCAATGCTCCTTAAATTGTCAATTTAAAAAAAAATAATTATTTGATATATTTTTCATTTTGAATTGTTTTAAATTAGAGTGATAACTAAGATAATTAAAGGGGGTTAAAGTAGTGTCAAATTATTGTATTGAGTGAGTTAAGTGAGCCCTGCTTGACTAGGATAGAAGAACCTCAGGAGGGGGAAACGGGTGCTAAGAACTGTACTCTGTGTACAGATCTGTATATGTTAGATATGTGTCTTTGAGACAAAGAGCTGACGGTTTTAAATCTTGGAATAAAACATGTAGTTCATTTAAATTCTCCTTAAGACCTCTTCAATTCCATTGTGTTTGTTTTGTGGATTCATGGTATTGCTTCCACGGGAGAAATATCACGCGAACGTGAGGAAGACTTTGTAATGCTCCTATCGGTATCATGTGGAGTTTGGTCCAGAGGACCAAAGGAATTATGGGCCTCTACTGGTACCACCAAAGGAGAGTTGGCCTTTGGTGTTGTTCAGCTGTTGTTTTTGCTGCTTCTTTTTCAATGATGTTTTTCCTTTTTTAAAAGTTTAACAATTTCTGGTTCTGTGGGACTCTGAGACTCAACAGTTTTAACAGTTTTTGGTTTGGGTGGAGTCACAGACGAACGTTTCACAGCTGTTTTTTGTAAGGACGCAGTAGGCAGTGGCGGAACAGACTTCACCAATGTCAGGTCAGTCTGACAGTCGATAGAGGCAGTGGTAACAGGAGGACGAGAGACAGAGTAAGAAATGGCAGAGGTGGTTGTAGTAGTACCAACAACCGTCTGGTTGGCTTCATGGTAGGAGAGTTTGTTTTCGATTTTGACTTTCATTATTTGTGATTCGCGTTTCCACACAAAACAGAATTTAGGTGAGGCCATATGGTTCAAACAGCAGTTTGAACACTTCACATCCTTTCTGCAGTCAGTGGCCTCGTGTTTGTCACTGCAGCGGTTACAAATAGCAGAGGCATGGCAGGACGTGGATCCATGTCCAAACACTTGGCCGGTGTAGCACCAGAGTGGATTGGGGATATAGACCTCCACACCAATGCTTCCGTAACCAGTCTTAATTGATTGGGATTGATGTTCGGACGAACGTGAAGAGGTAGGTGTTGGTTGGTTGGACCACACCATCCTTCTTTATTGAAAATCGATTGACAGCAGTTCAAGTTCAATGTCATTTTCGGACATGCCAGACAGGAAACATGCTCTGTCATGGACAATGCTCTTATATGGGGTCAGTGTCTTTTGCACTGAGGCGTCAATCTTTTAATTTATGCAGATTGACTGACAGATTGCGGTCCCCATGCATATTCTACAAGGAGAGAGCCAGATCAACGTTTAGTGACGTGTAACCTCTCCTCAGATACGACTGATTTCTGTGGAAATTACAAATAAATTCAATTTCATTGGTTCTTTATCTCAAGCTTCTATAACCAAGGAACGTGGCCAATATTCAGATCGACTGGATGTAGTCTCGTTAGACGAGGTATGGTCAGTTTCGATGCGTCGTCGTTTTGATCAAGGGTTTTGGGAAGTCATGTCGAAACGAAAATGAGTCAGCACCCTTTCTTACCCAGATGAGAAATGTTGAAATAATCAACAAAAAGTGGGACAACAACATAGGTGTTCAAACCTTATGTTGTGTATTGACATTGGTATTTTGATAAATGATTCTAAACGCACAACCAAAATTGAGCTGAACCATCATACTGGGGATCATGAGTACACATATATGAATCATTGCATATTTTTGTATGAGCAGCAAACAATAGAGAGAAAATAACAGTATTTCAGTTGCATGTACAATTGCATAAGATGTAAATCCACTATCTTTTCAGCACCAGGACTGTAAAGGGCTATGCAAGTGAGACTGCCAGAAGAATATGTATTGTTGTTGTCGCCATGAGTGCGTTTTCTTGATCCATTTTATGGTCATCCATAATAAAAATATGCATAGTGTTGATCATTGTTATGTATTTTTTTCACATTCAAAGTTCCTGAAAATTGTGTCACTAATTGTTGAAGAACTGAGTTTCTTTTTACAAATTTGAATATGTATTTGGAAAGTTTTAAATAAACTAAAGTTATGTTATGGCAAATGCAACACTGGAAACGCAAAAAGTATATTCCGTATACTGGCTTTGGTGGATTTTCAACGCTTTTGTAAGAGAACAATGAGATCAGCCTCCTTCAATCAAGCAACAGTATTATTGCTTTTGGAAACTGAACAAAAAGGATCGCAACTTCACATTTAACTTCACATACTGCATGGAGATAGTGTGGTCTCACTTGAAGCACGCATCAATGTAATCGCATCATCGTTTACTCCATGTAAGCATGTTTTATGTCACACAGATGCATATGTTTGTTTGTTGTTTAACGCTGCACTCAGTAATATTCCAGCTACATGACGGTAGTCTGTTAATAATCGAGTGGTTGACATCATGAACATCGATCCACGCAAATGGGATCGATGACATGCATCTACCAAGTCAGAGAGCCTGACCAGCCGCTCCCTTTAGTCTCCTTGACAAGCATATCGCATTTTATGGCAAGCATGGGTTGCCGAAGACCTATACTACCCTGGATCTTCAAGGTGTCACATGTGCATGTAGGACTAAGTGCAGATTGTTTGTTGCATGTCTCAAATTAGTAGTAGGAACGGTGACAAACTCTAGTTACAACAAGGAAATCAGAATCAGGAACGGGACATCACTGTTTCCATCCCTGGATGTCACAGGGACAAATATGTCCCTTCTCCTTGACCATCAGTTAGTTGAAATGGGGTTTAACCTCGCATTGAGTGAGTGAGTGAGTTAAAATTTAACGTCACATCAGCATTACTTCAGCCATATAGCGACGAGACCAAGTTAATATATTCACAAATAAGGAATTTATGCAAAGTAATATTAAAACAATTTATGAAACATATTTGAGCATAACAATATCATGTATATAGTTTTAAAACACAGGGCCATTAGTAACCAAAGCTAGGCCACCTCCAGGGGATCACGGGGACTTACAGTGCCTCTGCTTCCTGCATGATATCCCTACAGGATTTGCATCATCACTTTAGCTGCTGGTGATTATGCACCAAGCTGGCCCATATTAAAAAATACTCAGCAATGAGTTTGCTTAAAAACACTGGTTGAAGATAGTTACATCGATTATGATAGGATTAAGTGTCATACAGGGGGACAATAAGTTTACAGTACCTTAAATTCCCGGACAGATACTTCAATGTAAGTTGACAATAGTAGCATCACACAAAATTTAAAAAAACATGCATTTATTTATTCCCATACATATTTAATAATTATTATTCAGATCAATTTCTTTCAAGAAAATTAAGATGATATGCCCACTGACGCGGGAAAAGAGATCTTTTAGATTTGTACTAGGTATAATGTGAATCTCTTTCGATTACAAAGTCCACACAGTCAAGTAATATATGCTTGGCGCAGAATCTTTCATCACAAGGGATACACTTAGAATGTTCGTCCTAATCTCTCTTCAGTGGGTAAACTGACTGTGGCCAATACGACATCGTCGTAAAACGACCTCGTCATGTCTTGACTGACAACCCAAATAGGTTTGACCGATGGCTGGTTTTAATTCGTAAAGTTTATTGCTTCCTATCTGGGTGTCCCACCTATTTTGCATGAGATCCTTAGTATAACTCCTGATGGCTGGAAATCACTATGTGGGATCAGTAGTGGAGATAACGGTTAGGCAAGAGCTGCTTTAGCTGCAGCATCGGCTTTTGAGTTACCTGTTATTCCTACATGATTTGGCAACAAGCAAAAGACGATGCCACATTGACCAGTAAGAAGATCATTGAAAACTTCTGAAATGGCAAGGATTATAGGATGATTTGAGGAGACACTTTTAAGTGCCTGATTCCATGACAATGAAGCTGGAGAAGATGATGAACTTTTTAGATTGGTTTTGATGTTTGATAAAGGTCAAAGCTGTAAAGATAGTTTTTGCCTCAGCAGTAAAAATTGAACTGGAACATGGTATTCTTGAGGAGACAGTTCTGGATCCAATGATGGTGGCACTTGCAAATTTTCCGCCATCCTTGAACCCGTCTTAAAAAATGGACCTGTGATAATCATATTGAGTTCACAAACTTTAATTTGTTGGGAATTTCAGAATTTGTGTTTAGTAGTGTATTTCCGTCTTTGTTTGTTTGTTTGTTGTTAAACGATATACTCAGCAATATCACAGATTTATGTAAATAATCGAGTGTGGACCAGAACATCCAGTGATATCATGAGCATCGATCCATAAAATTCGGATCGATGACATGCATCAACCAAGTCAGTGATCCTGACCAGCCGATCCCGTTAGTTGCCTTTTACGACAAGCATAGTTCAGGGGTTTCCATCTTTGAGATGATGAACTCCGCATTTAGTTGTGCGGGACTTGATTTTGGATACATAATTCCTTCAGGATTGATATTTATTATCTTTAAAGGTACGTCACGCTTTAGCCCCCATGATTTTAACGTTATTATAATAGTGGACCGTTGGATGTCAGAAAAAATTCCTGTTCATATCATATTTTTTAAACAACAGACAATTTCAAGTCCGATTTGGCTCTACCATGTCCCTCAAATCAACATACTATCAGTCACACTTTTCAACATCACAATAAATAGTATCACTTTGTAGCACGGGTTGCGAGCGGTACCTTTGATCCTACCCGTGCTGTATCATGGTAGTAAGAGCACGGTTTGTTAAAGATTATTACCATTGGCTGATGCCAAGATCAGCAAGCCCCACCTACTAGCTTGAGAAATTTCAAACTTACAACAATGTTTCTTTAGTGTCGTAGACAGTGTTCAAGAGTAATAACGTAAATAAACAACGACAAAACAATAGAAATGTTTATAATTTGATGAAAAGATTACAATTTAACTGTCAAACATAAAAACAACTGAACACAGAACGCATTTTGCTAAATTCGGAAAATTAATAGTTGAAATTTCGAATGTGCCTTTGAAAATTCCAAAGTTAACCCTTGATTAACAATAAGATTAAAAGTTAAAAACGGTTTGAAGGAAGAAAGCATGTGACGTCATATTTAACGTCACTAAATTTTACACAAACTCGCGAAATTTTGGAATGACTGTCGCACCCACCTACTCGTGCTCTTAATGACCAAACAACTCGTCTTGGTGTGTTGTAACTATAACAAAGTGTTTAACACTAACATTGATGGTCCACTTTTTGTTGACGATTTCACCATTTCGTCTGGTGTTAAATTTTCTAAATCCAAAACAAACTGTTTTCACTTTTGTCGAAAATATAAACCTCACAATGATTCAGATTAACTTTTAGATGCTATTCCTAGCTAGGTAGTAGTATTAAGTATGACACGTAATCCTACCATAATCGATGTAACTATCATCAAACAGTGCTTTTAAGTGAACTCACTGCTGAGTATTTTTAAGTATTGGCTGGTATTTTGCAGAACCACCAGTAGCTAAAGTGATCCTGCTGGGGTATCATGCTGGAGTGAGTGAGTGAGTGAGTGAATGAGTTAAAATTTATAGTCACATCGGGAGTATTTCAGCCATATCGTGACTACAACAATTTAAACATACATACGAAACATGTGAAAACGTTCTAAAATACCTGTATCAACGAAATCGAAAAATGGTGTCTTGAAAATGGTTTTAGGTTTTCAAAAGCTAAGACCAATTGTATTCATTTTTGTAGGAAATACAAGCACCACAAAGATCAAGAACTATTTTTACATGGCACTCCTATCAAGGTCGTAGAAGAGGCCAAGTTCCTGGGTCTTTTTTTCCATCACCATTTAACTTTTAAGCCGCATATTCAATATCACAAAACTTAATGCCTGAAGGCTCTAGATTTGTTGAACGTTGTAGGGAGGTGATCAGACAACCCTCCTCCACTTGTATCGGTCTCTGATCCGCTCTAAATTAGATTATGGCTCCATCGTTTATGGTGGAGCCTGCAAGAGCAATTTACAAAAATTAGATTCCATTCACCATCAGGGCCTAAGACTATGTCTCGGCGCATTTCGTACGTCTCCTGTAGATAGCTTATATGTAGAAGCTGATGAACCATCGTTGAAGCAACGGCGTATCAAATTATCGCTTCAATACATTGCAAAATTACGTTCTAACCCGTTAAACCCTGCATATAACTGTATATTTCAACCTTTTTTACGAAGACCTTTTTCATAGTAAGCCTAAAATGGTCCCACCACTAGGCATTCGGATAAAACCCCACATTACAGCTGCACATATTGATTTAGATAATATCTCTCCTTTCAGGCTTCTGTCTTCCCCTCCTTGGCAACTTATCAGACCGGAGGTGGACTTGACTCTCAAACAATTTAAAAAACAAGACACAAATCAATTAGTATATCAGCAAGAATATTTACAAGTTAGAGCTAAATACGAATCCCACCATTCGATTTTTACAGACGGATCCAAGGACGGCAGCAGAGTCTCCAGTGCTGCTGTCATTGGATCCAAAACCGTCTCGTCCCGTTTACCAGAATATAGTTCAATTTTCACCGCTTAAGCCAAAGCAATATTAGCTGCTTTGGAATATATCCAAAAACAGTACAGTTGTAAACGGTTCATCATCTTCTCAGATTCATTATCGTGTCTACAGGCAATCAAATCTAGCTCTTCACATCATCCATTCATTTTAGATTTTTTAGAATTGTATAATGACCTTGCTACTGGCCAATACGACATCGTCTTTTGCTGGTTGCCCAGTCATGTTGGAATCACAGGTAACACTATGGGTGATGCTGCAGCATAGGCAGCTCTCAACAATGCTGTGACACCACTTCTTTTACCATACAGTGACTATAAACCTATTATTAGATCCTATATCAAAGACCTAATGCAGAAGAAGTGGGACACTCAAGTGG